ATGAAAGTGTATCACAATATTCGAAAAATTTTGTTTCGGACTTTGTACCTAAACAATAACACATCCTCAACCACCTGATTTCAAATCTAACAGTCAATGATGATTGTGACTTCCTTGTATCAAAAGTAATTGATTTCATTATATATATATATATATATAAATATATATATATATATTTATATATACACACACACACACGTAGGCTTTCACATCATTGTATTCCTAGTTTGTAAGGCCATAGCATATGTAAAGTGTGTGTGCACATGTGTGTGGGTGTATATGGAAAAGGTTTATATAAGGTGTCAACCTTATGCTTTAGAAGTAAGGTGCACCTTAAAATTCCACACAAAAAGGTTGTTATAACACTAGGAAACCCCTCCAATTGATTATTTCAAGCTCAAGATGTATAAAAAAAAAAAACGGGATTTCAAGTCCTCAAAATAGTGCATCTTGTAACATATCATCTGGATCATGCATTTTCAAGATTTTCAAGTGTTTATAGATCGACTTGATCTGCAATATTTTAAAAACTTTAAATTTTATAATTAGGAGTGGCAATAGATTTTTAGGCCATCGTAAGGCTTTCGGCGCCACAGTTGTATCTTTCATCTGAGTTGAAGATGCACCTTCCTTGGATTATTTAAGGTGGACACCTTATATATAAATATATATATATATATATATATATATGAAGATATTACAAAATGCCTATAGGTGAAAATGAACAGTGATTTCGTCTACCCTAATCACTGTCCAAAGTTTATCGGACGGTCACGATTGTCCGATAGTGTTTCATTTTTCTTTTTTTTTTACAAATTGAAATGACCTAAAATTTGAAGCGTGTGTTCTTAAAAAATAGAAGAATCTACGAAAAAATATCAAAAAAAATATTTTACATGAAAAAAATTGACCAAAATACCCCCCAAAAAATTTCACGGGCATTTTGGTCAAAACTATTTTGCAAATTTTTTTTATTTTATTTTTATTAAGTGCTCCTCACTAAGATGTACACACTCTCCAAATTTCAGGTCATTTCAATTTATAGAAAAAAATGAAAAATAAAACACTACTAGACAATCGTGAACGTGTGATGAACTTTGGACGGTGATGAGTGTAGACGAAATCACTGTTCATTTTCGCCTATAGGCGTTGGGAAGACTTTTCCATATATGGACAATTCAGTCCAATCCACATGTTCAGGCCCATCCAGAATGGTGACCTACAGATTACGAGTAGGATAGGATGATCTGATCCCATCCTGCAATTCAAACCTTGACTGTGAACACTAACAGTGTCCATGGGGTTTCTATCACAAGTTTCATTTAGTTGACAACTGCTACTTTCTGGTGTGAACGTCAAATGCAGCAGGAGTTTAACTTAGACAAAATCTCTAGATACACTGATCAGACCTGGCACATCTAGACATAAAATTACTAGTCAGACAAGTTTTCCTTACAAAGCAAACATTTCCATAGAGAGAATCCTTGGACTGTCAAATTCATACTATTGTCTCTAGCATTGCTAAAAAGATGTATACTCAGTCGAGGTGATTCAGCTGATATGTTTAGAAATAAAATTCAAGTTTTAAACAGTTAGAAATCCGTTTAGGCTTAATTCGTCAATGGCAACAGATCTCCCCTCTTAGGCCATGAGGGCATTGCCCCATCACAATAGGAAATAAAAGACTGCTTTGGGTCTTGTCTTCCCTATTATAAAATGTGTCCTAAGAACGGCATTCCAAACCCACTCAACGGCAAAAGATGCTAGCAAATGGCAGTCCATTGACCACCATAGCATCCTTATCCATATTGGGTCTTTATTGCAAAGAATTCCATCAAACGCAGCCATATCATTCCATTGTTATAATTCATAATTATCTATCAGCAGAAAATGAAAGAATACCATTATCATTCCACCAAAAAAAAAAAACTGGCACCGCAGGAAGTTAAACACTCAAAACCTTACTGCATGTTCAAGTGATAGCATGTGAGTGAGGACTACTATGAACACTAAATTGAACAGTTGTAAAAGGCGTATAAATGGAACAGAAGAAATGAATGACCAATCAATGCTTGAAACTGGAAAAAGGAAGGCAGCGAAAAGGTAAGGTATGTCTCATTTGGGCCAAGTTATAAACCAATGAAAAGATCAAATTTTTGTATGTTTTTCAAGGTGAAGATTCCTAGAAACACTACAAACAAAAAAGACAAAAAGGTCGGGAAAGAAGAAAAAAATCCAAGTACAATGGAACAAAAAAATTATGTCTCTCAAGGCACATTCGGCATATTCAAAAAGGAAAACAGAAACTAACAACAATCCATCAAAAAAGCTAGGGATTGTAAATTTGAATGGGATATGATAAGCTTCGGAAAGATATTGGAAACCAGTAAGAAATTACTTCCACTTGAACAATTCCAAATCCAAATATGAAGACACAATTTTACCTCAAGCATGAAAGAGTGATTTTTCTTTTCCGATGTTTGCTGTGGGACAATCCTCTTGGTCGGAGAAAGAAAAGACCATGCAAGACCCCATCTAGATGTCCAACCTTGTACAAATTCAGTCGTCTTTACGATTGATACACCAACCTCACGGAGCTTTGACGTTAGACATTTTAAGTTTGATTTCCTGCCAACCATTGTTGTGTACCACCTACAAGTATATCAGCCCACATGATTAGCTTCCTTTTACAGTCATACACAGCATTACAACCTGCTTAAACAAAGAAAATGCATATGAGATAGAGATTTGTGCCTGAATGAATCTTTCAACTTCACACTATCTTCTATAATACGCGTGATGAAGGCTTGTTCTCCACCAGGGCAAACCATCTCCTCCAAAGTTCCACCACACGAAGTTCTAGGGTTCTTCCGTACTTCATCAATACTCTCAAAAAATGGAGGATTACACATACAAAAATCAAAATTTTCACCATCCTTTACAACTCCTACAAGTATAGGGGAACCATGGTATTCCTCTGAACTATGAGTGGGGCCACTAGATGCGTTCGAAGTCATCTCATTATCCTCCATAACTCTCAAGTCCATTGATACAGGGATTTGTTCTGGTTCCACAACATATATCAACCCCTCATTTTCCTCTAATCTCTCCACTTCAACAACCTGGTCCGAAGATAATTTAACTTCATTAGAGCAAGAACAATTCTCATAAATTTCTTCTCCTTGTTTACCCTTGCCATTTGATATCATGCTCTCACATTCCCCAGCCACTCTAATCTCTATCAAATTAGCAATATGGGGATTACTCTCAACATTCTTTCTTGCCGATTCTATAGAAATTTCTGTCACATCTGCAACAAAATTCAAGAACAGCAATACCATCCATAACAAGGTTAAAGCACTGGTATGTATCCTATAAGTTTGAAGGGGAATTCCTAAGGAACCATACAAAGAAAAAACCACAAAGAACACAAAAAATATGGTATATGAAACAATAATAATCAATTCCCAAATGAAAAAAGAGAGAACAAATATCACAGACCTGACCCTACAAAGCTCCAACCAAGAAGGGAAGCACCAAGAAGTGGGTATATACAATTGGCACCAGTTCCAATATCAAAACCTCTCACCCTATCTCCAAACTTCTGCTTAGGTATCACTTTAGAAGCTAGCAAATCTTCAATCCAATGAATATAATTAGACCTATTGGGCACTGTAGGGCACAGCTGGCCATCAGGAATCCACCTGTAAAAACAGTCGCCATGATCAACCCCGCTTAAAACCTAAAAAACCCACAAATTTGATAGCTTTAATTTAGGCTTCAGCTAATGAGAAAAGAAAGGAACAAAATCAAAACACCCACTCCCATTATTCAGAAATAAAACATAATCTCCATTATAAACACAACCAAAAACCATTAAGCAAAAAGACAAAAAAAAAAGAGAAAAAACAAATCAAACAAACTCCCAATTCAGGGAATGAGGCAAAAGACGAGAATAAAAACAAATCCCAAACTCGAAAAAAAAAAACTATTATTTCAGTAAATAAAATAGTCAAAGAAAACAACTAAAAAATAAAAAACCATTTTGCTACTCCCAATCCAACAACTAAAAAGTAAGAATCAAACCAGTTAATGCCATGATCATGGTGGAGTAAGACCCTTGTGAGCTCTCTGGTTGCATTGAAATCGGTCCAGTCGATTTTGGGCCGCCCATTTTGCGAGTAAGAGACGAAAGGCTGGAAAGCAGGGTAGAGAAAGGCGAGGAGTTGGAAATCAGGGGCTTTCTCTGCGTATTTGTTACGAGGGTGTATACAAGGAGGTTGCTCAAATTTCCTCTTCCTCTTGCTAGGCATATTATACTGACGACAAGAAAAATGGAAGAGAACTTAAACTAAGCCAATTACAAGAACTTAAACTAAGCCAATTACAAATTAAACCTGCAACTGCGGAGAGAGAAAGAAGAGCTAAAAACTTAATCCAAACTGGTACAAGAAGAAGCAACAACCCAATTCCATATTCAAGGGTGAATTATGAAATCACAACTGCAAGCGGTGGAAAACGAGTGGGGTAACTGAAAGTACAAGTTCTCGCAATAATAACAAAAGGGAAAAGTTTATATAGAGCCGAGAGTCTAAACAATCAAATTAGAGCCAGCCTCAAAAATTTCACTAGAAGTTGTAATAATAATAAAAGGGAAAAGTTTATATAGAGCTGAGAGTCTAAACAATCAAATTAGAGCCAGCCTCAAAAATTTCACTAGAAGTTGTTTTGATGCCCAAATATCCTTAAATTGCTCCTATAACATGAGAAAAAAATTGATTTCAAGTTTTGGAAACAGTACATCTTGTAATATAGTTTAGACAGTTAATTTTTAAGATTTTCAATTTTTTATAGATATGTTTCATCTACACTATTTTTACTATTTTTTAATATTTAAATTTTATAATTAGAGAATAAAATATTTCAATTTTGAAATGACATTTCTTGACACTATTTGAAGGTGACCTTTACCTTGATTGTTTAGAAGCTCGGCTCCATAGAAACCGCACCCATCATAAAATCACAATGCAGAGAAAATAAAGGGGTAAATGGATGCAAGTTATGTGTCACGAAAGTTCGAAACTGAAAATTGTAATGCAGGTTACCGCTGGCAACTGGCCTGAGCCCGTTCACTCCTTGCGTAACCCGGCCCTATTCCCCAACGGCTGGCTTTGGCCCTCAGATGTCGGGGCTAGCTGAGTAAAATTAAAGAAAAAAAAAAAAAACATGAAAAACATTAGGACCAGTACAGGCCAGCCCTTGGGCTACATTTGTGGGCCATACCCTAGTCTTGTAGGGCCGGGCCACCCATTGCCACACCTTAACAAAGGGTTAATTTGGACTCCGGCTCCTTGGACCTTCAGGTTCTATAAATCGCCTAGACCGAACTTTTGGGATCTGATTCTAGGAGGTCAGGGACAACCCAGCAGTCGAGTCACTTATTATAGAACACAGCTTTTGCAAGTGCTAGAGCTCATATGTAGATATATAGCCCCTCTTTATGATCTATTTTGTTGATGGATTTGAGACTTAATTTTTCAGGTTTATGTAATTTTGGAAAAAGTTTGTATCGAGCCGAAGCTCTAAACAATCAAATTAGAGTGCCCATCAAAAATTTCATTAGAAGAGGTCGTTTTGATGCTCAAATATCTTTAAATTGACAGTCTCGGCATCAAGATGCATGGACATGAGAAAAAAATGGATTTCAAATTTTAAAAACAGTGCATCTTGCAACACATTTTTGGACTGTCAATGTTCAAGATTTTTAAATTTTCATAGATATGCTCAATCTACACTATTTTTGGATTTTTAAATTTTATAATTAAAGATGAAAATATATTTTAAGGCTATCTCAAAGATTTCCAATATTAAAACTACATTTCTCTATACTATTTGAAGGTGCACTTTACTTTGATTGTTGAGAGCCTCATCTCTATACAAACGGCAACCTATGATTTTTAATATTCAAAAGATAAATTTTAAAACCTAAAAATGCTAAATTTTAGACTATCAAATTTTTATTTTTTTGGAGGGACCACCACTCACATCCCCACATTCATCTCTAAGATATATACGTGGGGAAAGCTTTCTATACTTCCCCTACAACATAAAAGATCTATCCTCCCCCTCCTTTTTAACCGTCGATTTCAAATACGTGGCTGAGATCATTTGAGTGAAGTTGTCACAAAAGTAGGTTCATGGCCTCAACCGGTTGCTTAAAACCTTTCCCCTGTAAAATGGATGGAGAAAGCTCCCTTTCTTTCCCTATTCTCTATCTCTATCTCTCCCTTTCTCCATCTCCTTCTCATCCTCTGCAAACGATAGAGAAAGCTTTCCCTTCTCTACGAGACCCAACGGCTCTCGTCTCTCTCTCTCTCTCTCTCACGAAAGCTTTGCATACCCAACAGCTCTTTCTCTCTCTCAAGCCTCATCTCTCTATGGACCCTCATTTCTCTCTAACTAACCCTAGCGGAGCTCTCTCATCCTCTGCGAGCAAGAACTAAAGGAACTTGTGGAAGCAAAAGCAGCAACCTCTCAATCAGTGAGTTATATATAGGTTTTTTGTCTTTTTTTATTTTTCCTTACTAATTTTAGGTTTTTGGGTTTTTTGTTAGGAAACACTATAAAATTTTTAGGGATTTCTTTATATTTATCTATTTTAAATTTGCCGTAAAAAAAATTTATCCCTTTCCCAATATTTCTCTATTGTAAATCTCTTGAATTTTATTCTATTTTTTGGTTTTTGCTCCATTTATTTTTATAAATAGGAGAAGAAGATAATCTGATTTATTTTATTTATTCTCCCGAATTTTTCCCCCTCTCTCCTCCTCTCTCTCTCTCTCTCTCTCTCTCTCTCTTTCTTTCTCTTTAAGTCTACCATTTCTACTTCTCTCTCAAAAGATCGGGTGCTTACTATCACATAAACTTGACTATGAGAATTTGCTTAATCGTGTGTGTGATTTGTGGTATTCTTCCACTCAATAGAAAATGGATTTGGTTGTTGATTTAATCACATTTGTGAGGTGTGAAGAAGCCAAACATATGTTCATATTGTTAAATGATGCTATAGAAAGCCTAGGGCATATCACTATTCACAAGGAGATTCTCTTATACTTGACCCGAACAGTTGCTAGAACTATTTTATTATTTTCTATGAAACCTCCCAAAGTTGATTTCTTTGTATTGAGGCGGCTGAAAAAAACAAAAAAAAACAAAAAAAAAAGGACAAGCTTTTGGAGATTTGTAACATCTAAACAAAGGTTGACATGCTTATGTTGTATTCAGTTTATGAAGAATGAGTTTGATAGTATTCTTTCTTTTTTCATGGTGTTTACTACACAGTTTCAGTGTTCACTTTAGGAATTCTATGAGCTTTGTATGACCAAAGTAGTGTTCACTTTAGAATTTTATGTGCTTTGCATACCTTCTTCATGAATTTTATGAGCTTTATATGACCAATGTATTAGGACATATTTTTGTGCAACATTATTGCTTGGAATCCTATTAGGATATATTTTTGAGCTTTGTGCAATATTATTGTATAATTAGATATGGACTTCCAACATTATTGCTCGGAATCCTTGAAAGAATTTGTTAGATTTGATGGAAATTTGCGACCCTCTCGTTTCCTCCATTGTTGCAACATTTTTTTTTCGTTTCCCATTATCGGCTTTTGAAGTAGGATAGGAGGGACAAGGTTGGTGTGCACCCCATAATTTGGAAGGATTAGTTGAGCATGGAGATTAGGGATTGGTGCGAACGTCAATGCAATGTTATTGAAGCTGTCAATAAGCCCACCTACTTTCGATTATGGGTACATTATTTAGTTGTGTATTTCATTACATGTTCAAGTTTTGTTACATATTCAATCAAATTTATTCATTCTCATTTGTCTTGTAATTATATAAATATTGTTGTAATTGCAGCAACACACCTGTATATGAATGTAAGAAGTCGCACTTGAAAACAAAGGGGATTCCACGCTTTATGCAGTCCCGGCCCATGAATTGTTAGTAAAAAATACACCAGATGCAAGAAAGGTCAGTGAAAGCGAAGAGGATGGTGAGGAGCAAAATGGAGGAAATGAGAGTGAAGTCGAGAAGGACGATGAAAGGAGAACAAAGTCTAGAGAAGACCAGTATCACGGTCTTATTATGCCTGGGAACCCAGATGGGAACTTCGACCAAGGGTGAAGGGGAAGGGTGTACTTAGATAGGGGCATCTTACATATTTGTAATTAAAGCTTTTGTAGTTGGATATGTAAAAACTTAGTTCTGCAAGCACATTTTGATGCAGTGCCTTGCACATTTTGTGGACTATGTTTGTTGATTTGATTATTCATTATCCATTTCGAATTTGTGTACCTCTCAATTCTTTTAGATGCCAAATAAACAAGATGACACCATATGCAGCCAATTTTGCTAATGCGGCATTCAGTTTTGAGTTCTCAGGACGCAAACCTAAAGATATGCAATTATAGAAACTTTTCCTTTAAATGTTATATGGTGTTGTTCATCATGATATGTACAAAATGAGAAAGAAGAAAACAAAGTGTGATGAACTCCAGATAAACAATAAATCTCTATGGAGTTCAGGTCTTGGGTTCTTTAATTGGGGTCTAGCAAACTCTTGACAGTTCAAAGTAAAATATTTTCATTCTTTTTTCTTAGAAGCATTCTTATGATGAAATATGTAGTTCAACACGAGGAATGTAACCCTTGACAAACTTTGAATAATGCACTCAATTTATGTATGGATGCAGTAGATTTCTGATCCTAAGGATTTTATTGAACCTTGTGGACAAGAGTTTTTTTAATCTAACTCTTGTGAACACAAGTTTATAAATGGTTTGGCTTTCACATGGTGGTGCATCGCCGACCACTAATATGGTTCTACATGGTTGCAGGGCTGATGAGAGAGAGAGAGAGAGAGAGAGAGAGAGAGCTAAGTCGTGGGATAGCGCGAGAGATCTACATATTGTTTGCAACATATATAAGCTATATACAAATTCTAATTCGAAACTTTACACAAATTTCCCCTTCAAAGATTCAACCAAAAAAAAATACGGGAACCAATGGGTCCAAAAAAATTCATAAAAGGAATTCTCCCCTCAATGGTTTCAACATATGGAAGCTATACAAAAATTTCATTTCGAAGGTATCCAAAAAGTTTATTTGCAACATCAATTTGTAAAATGGAAAGCTATACAAAAATTCCATTTTGAAGCTATTCAACATGCACTTTGCAACATATGGAAGCTATATAAAAATTTCATTTCAAAGCTCCATTCCAAGACAAGGTCTTCTCCACTAGCATTGGGCTTGTGAAAATTTTCTAAGATGATGAGCTTGATTGTTTAGCATTGGGCTTGCAAAAAAATTCTGAGATGATAAGCTTGATTGTTGAGCATTGGGCTTGCAAAAAATTTATGAGATGATGAGCTTGAGGGTTGACCTTTGAGCTTGTAAAAAAAGTTCCAGTTGACTTCTTGCATCGTTATCCAAACTGATATAATCATTGAAAATTTA